TCATATTCTCTTGGCATCTATTTTTGAAATTGCCCGTTCGCACTTGTCAGGAAAGGGATGCGATCTTCCGAGTAACCAGGGTGCCGAAAACTTCTGAGCCAACTGAACTACGTTTACGATGCTAAAACTACTGAGCCAACTGAGCGCCATATATTTTCTTGTACGCCAGTATCAAGCAACCATGCAACATCCGCCGTCTTGCTTCTGACAGCGGAAGTGAGCAGACAAGACCCTGTCCTGCTGTACGCGGGCGCGCTGTCTGAGGCCTCTGACAGTCTGATTTATTATTGTAGCCTACATAGTCGGCGCCGGGACCGCGCTGGTGTATTCACTGGGACGTGTCCCGCTGTGTTGACCCGGCAGCCGAGGAAAGCCAAAGCCTGTGTTGACCCGGCAGCCGGGGAAGGCGACCGAAGCCGAGACTGCTGGGCGGGCTGGCCGTCCCCCTCGCACGTGAATCGGCGCTAGAGGGGACACCTGACGCAGTCGCGCGCCCGTGGCATCTGGGGAGGATGTGAAACATCGCGCTGTCCTCACACACGGTCACAAAATATGGGTGCCATTCGTTAGGAGTCGTTCAGCCAGGTGCCACGGCTCACGCTGGGTGTCATTCAGCCAGTTGCCACGGCCCAAGCTAGGAGTTATTCAGCCAGGTGCCACGGCCCACGCTGGGAGTCATTCAGCCAGTTGCCACGGCCCAAGCTGGGAGTTATTCAGCCAGGTGCCACGGCACACGTTGGTAGTCATTCAGCCAGGTGTCACGGCCCACGCTGGGAGTTATTCAGCCAGATGCCACGGCCCACGTTGGGAGTCATTCAGCCAGGTGCCGCGGCCTATGTTGGAAGTCATTCAGCCAGGTGCCACGGCCCACGCTAGGAGTCATCCAGCCAGATGGCGCGGCCTATGTTGGAAGTCGTTCAGCCAGGTGCCGCGGCTCACGTTGGGAGTCATTTAGCCAGTTGCCACGGCTCACGTTGGGAATCATTCGGCCAGGTGCCGCGACCTGCGTGTCGTGCCGTGCGGTAGCATTGTAAGATTCATTATGAACGCCTTGTATTTGAGGAGTTGAGTATATTTATTCGCGTTGTCATTGCGAACACAAAATGAGAAAATAACCATTGGCTCATTACAACATTTCAGAAAGACTTCTGAGGCTATCTGTGAAATGTTGGGTGAAAAAAACATTTTTTGTATTGCCACAACCAATCCACTTTGTTTGCAGCGATTTCGAAGCCACCGCAGGTTGCTTATTTAGAAGGCATAAATCACGATTCTGGCTTCACGAGATGCAGAAATTAGCAGGAATGTTACTAACTGCAAAGAGTGTCGTGAAAACATCAACGCTAGTAGATTCCGATGGTGATATTGGCTTTAGCAACTACTGCGGAATAACTGTTTTTGGTATTTGCACACTGTAACATTTTCTTTTCTATGGGCGTCAACCCATGACGGCCACAAAAGGGGCCAAACGGCACGAGGTCCTCGCCCTAGCTACCCAGTCTGCTATACTGATCTATAAGCGTCAACCCATGACCGCCACAAAAGGGGCCAAACGGCACGAGGTCCTCGCCCTAGCTACCCAGGGTACTATACTGATCTATTAGCGTCAACCCATGACGGCCACAAAAGGGGCCAAACGGCACGAGGTCCTCGCCCTAGCTACCCAGGGTACTATACTGATCTATTAGCGTCAACCCATGACCGCCACAAAGGGGGCCAAACTGCACGAGGTCCTCGCCCTAGCTACCCGGTCTGCTATACTGGTCTTAGTGGCACATGGTTGCTGCTTATTTTGTCCAACACCACTGTGGCATACGGGTGGAATGGTCGTGGTCTGCTATCGACGTCAGCTGTCAGTATGTATATCAGCTGTCAGTATGTATACCGCTGGCCATCAGTATGCCAGCTGCCCACTGGAACCCACAGCGCGCGCCACTAGTGCCACTGAGGGCAGGCTAACACATGGCCTGCGCCAGCGGGCGCGCTGTCCCAATGCACGGGATGGCGTGGCACGAGACAGCGGGGCCCGCTGAACGCCCGTAACATGGGGTGGAAACGGGTACAAACCAAACGCCGGGTTGCATGTGGAACGATTGGTCGACACCAGGTGACGGGGCGCTGACCAGCTGTTTGGTTCGGTTTTGGTATTGTGGGAAGAGGGAAGTCCGACTAGCCGCTCAGACGACGGAAGGGAGCCTTCGAAGTTAGGTTAAAGCTTAGGGCGGTCGTGATTGTTCACCTATTGTGAAAAAGAAAGCAAGGTGGTAGGTACTATCCGTTGTATTTTGGGTGAAAAAATCAACATTTCGTCACACATTTCCCGATGAGAATTTCTAAGCAGGGCTAATTGGGATGAAAAGTCCTAAGTAGGGCTTACAGGGATGAAAATGGTGTTTTGAGGTTCTGTTCCAGCCAGTCCCGGCCCCCGTGTTCGCCATGACATGCGTCACAGTTGGCGATGTTGACGCGCTGGCCATCACAGTGGACGTCATGGTGACGTCACGCAGTGGTCGTCCAATCACCTTGCACATCTCTTCGCTGGTCCCGACATGTATATGCCAGCGTTTGGATATCGAGCCAGGTTTCGTTTTGGCTGGGCGGAGAATGCAGAAGGCTTCAGTCTCAGAGTACGCTTATCTTTATCAGCCTCACGATTTGTCACATGAAGCACCGTTTCATAAGATATTTTGTGTCGCCACGCGTATGGCAGGGGGTCGCCTTCTCACTACTGTTGTCCAGGGGGTGCAGTTTCGTATTCAGTTGGAGTAGAGGGGACGGTGCTCCTCCGCGCAACTTGGACACCAGCCGCACCCCCCCCCCCCTTGTGTACGATAGCTGGGTGTCTTTTGCGCTCCGTGTGGTCAGGTTTGCACCCGAGAGGCTGGGATCCGTTACACTGTCTGGAGGTTATTGGCAGTGTGGCGAGGTCGCTGCGCTTGTCTCAAATGCGTCGAGGCGGCCTTGTGTGTTGGCTTCGAGTGCTCAGTGACGAGTCGGTCCAGCATGGGCGCGGTGACTCAGTGCAGCTATGGTATGCGGCCCGTAAGACACTCGGCTCGTTATCAGTCATACAACATCATCTCCTCGGGTCAGCGACAGCACCGTTTGACAGTTCTGTTGGCTGTCAGAGACAGCGCTGTTTTTTGAGCGCGTGCGGTCAGCGATCTGCGACGTCACTCAGCAGCTCGTCTGCCCTGCGTTTCAAATAATAAAGCACGCTAACTATGCTAAACGTCTGGAGTGCAATGACTGTGTTTTGAAACTGCCGTCGTAGCCGTGCATATTCGTGCGCAGATACCTTGGATTTATTCGTGTTGAGTCCGGCAAAATTTGCGAGGAATTGCACACAGATTAGAACAAAACAGGCAAAACGGGGCCTAGCAATCGCTGCTTGGACGGCTTGACTATTTTGTCGTCCTCGAGTGGGATGGCTGGATAATTTCTTGTTCGAATCAATGCCTTTTATTACCAATGGGTGACTTCCTTTGGCGAAAATCTCCGGTAAGAATCGATGAACATGCGCGGCCCGACGGCGTCGGCCCGGGGAACGAACGGGTCGGGGGCCGGCGCTCGGTCCGCAGCCCGGTAAAATATCACGCCAATCCTGAATATCAAGACGTACCAATCAAATGCGGAGGCAAGGGTGCACCTTTAACAAATACAAAGCAATACACGCGTCGAGTGCATCACTAGCGTCAGAAGTAGTTGCGCATGTGTGCGGGCCGCGGTTCACCGGCAGGCAGAGGCGCGGCCTCGCGTGTGAAGAGCGCCAGTGCTCGTCTCGCCGTTGCGGGTTGAGCAACGCGTCCGTCAGGGCTGGCTATCAGCGGCGTCAAGTCCACAGTCTATGGCAAACATGGCCGTAAGCGTGGTTCAATGTTCAACGCGGAGCTTCCGTCCCCTCCCGCTCGTCCCCCCGTCCGCGCGGCACCTCAAAAGCAGCGAAGCGAGCGTCGCCAAAGGCGCGCGGCGGGCTGTCGTGTGCGGTGTCAGCTGACCGGCCGGGCGAGGTCGGACGGGTCACGTGGTCTGCGGCGGCGCCCTCTACCGGCGGTGGCCCCGCAGCACGCCCGGGGGCAGACTGCCGGCTGGCGGTCACTCAGTGCCAGGGAGCGCGCGCGAGGCCGGCGAGGCACCAACCCGTCCTGCGTGCGCGAGTTTTAACAATTGTTTCGTGACGATTTTCGGTGACTTTTAAGTGCATCTGATCGCGTTTGATCCGCGGGTGTACGCGGAGTCCCTTGGCGCGTGCGACGTCTGAGCGGGGCCTCTGCGTTAAGCAGTGGGCGGTGCAGAGCGGTGCCGAACATGACATCCGTCACCAAAACGGTGAGCGTCGGGCAATGGGAGTGAGAGAAGAAGTCACGCTGGTCTCGGGCCGCCACTGGTTTTGATCCTGTGGCACCATCAGTATCTGCAAACTTCGTGTCTGCCGCCAGTTTCGATTCCGTGTGGATTGAATGTTGTGGATGTACCGCCGTACAGCCGTTCATTTGCGAGCGGAGGCGGTTTCCCTCAGCCCAGTCGTGAGCAGAGACGGAGATGGTGGTGGTGAGACGTGGTTGGTTTCGTCACGATCACTGTGTCATGCCACATCACTGGTCTTAACAGCAGGCTTTGGCGTTCAGTTGGCCTAGGACGGTCAATAAGTATGCGCGATTGATTCATTTTTTCGTTTTGATGCCCACTTGGCGTGCCCCTGCGAGTTTCCTCATGTGCATGTGTAACGTTCCCTTCCGTGAGCTACCCAAGTGAAACGCATTTTTTGTGTGTATTTCTTGTGCGTGCCTTCTTGCTCAAAACGCGTCCACGTGCGGTGCGCAGTTGTGGCTCGTTGAGCCCTAACCAACCTTGTCCCCGTGGGACGGCTCGAAGCGTCTTCCACTGATGCAGGTCAGTGGGGACCGATGACTGTTAATCCCGATGGGTCTTCACTGAGCGGCACCGTGCCGCTTGGTCCGGCTCGTCCAGCGAGGTGACCCCAGCCTTGGCTGTTGCAGGGCCACGAGATGACGGCGGGGCCCACTCCAGTCTCCCCCCTCGTCTTCCACTGGTTCTACGCCAAGGCCCGGTCGTCGGACTCGAGCGAGACCGACTGGCTGCCCTTCTCTCGGGCCGACTGTGATGCCCTAGAGAAGGTGTACCAGTCTGGTAAGTGGGACGCGGGTCCGTGCCCCCGGCCACGGCGGATCCGGGGATGTCGTCCGGGTGTCGTGGGGCCGGGGATGTCCGGGTGTCGTGGGGCCGGGGATGTCCGGGTGTCGTGGGTCCGGGGATGGCGTCCGGGCGTCATGGGTCCGGAGATGACGTCCAGGTGCCGTGGATCCGGGGATGGCGTCCGGGAGCAGTGAGTCCGGGGGTGTTGTCCGGGTGTCGTGGGTCCGGAGATGACGTCCAGGTGCCGTGGGTCCGGGGATGGCGTCCGGAAGCAGTGGGGGTGTTGTCCGGGTGTCGTGGGTCCGGAGATGATGTCCATGTACCGTGGGTCCGGGGATGGCGTCCGGGAGCAGTGGGTCCGGGGGTGTTGTCCGGGTGTCGTGGGTCCGGAGATGATGTCCATGTGCCGTGGGTCCGGGGATGGCGTCCGGGAGCAGTGGGTCCGGGGATGTTGTCCGGGTGTCGTGGGTCCGGAGATGACGTCCAGGTGCCGTGGATCCGGGGATGGCGTCCGGGAGCAGTGAGTCCGGGGGTGTTGTCCGGGTGTCGTGGGTCCGGAGATGACGTCCAGGTGCCGTGGGTCCGGGGGGTGGCGTCCGGGAGCAGTGGGTCCGGGGTGTTGTCCGGGTGTCGTGGGTCCGGAGATGATGTCCATGTGCCGTGGGTCCGGGGATGGCGTCCGGGTGTCGTGGGTCAGGGGATGTTGTGTCTCCGGGGATGGCGTCCAGGTGCTGTGGGTCTGGGATGTTGTGGGTCTGGGGATGGCGTCCGGGAGTAGTGGGTCCGGAGATGTGTGTCCGGGGATGGCGTCCGGGTGTCGTGGGTCCGGAGATGGCGTCCGGGTGTCGTGGGTCCGGGGATGGCGTCCGGTTGTCGTAAGTCCTGGGTGTTGCCCGGCTGTGACAGGCTCCGGGTGTGGTCTGAATCTGCCGCCTAGCTCCGGGCGATGCTGTGTACTCAGTCCCTTACTTGTGTAAGTGTGAGAAAGGTGACTGAGAAGCTCCAGGTATGTTAGTTTACATGCTTTCGAAAGCACATGAGTCGCAGGTGCCTTGCACATTCTATGGACGGCATGCAATACAGTTAAGCCGATGCTTGGAGTTTCGGACGAGGCGCGTGTCGCGCAGAGGGTGCCGTGCCACTGCCGCTGACCTCGGCGGCGCGCTGCCGACCAGGTGAGGCCGGCCTCGGGCAGCTGGTGCCCGTGCTGGGGCGCCGTCATGACGTGGACGTGGCTCTGCGTCTGATGACGCCCGTCTACTGGGAGTGCGCCCCGGTCGCCGTGCGCCGCTGCTCCTGGTTCTCCCGCGGCGCGCACGAGACCAAGTTCGTGCCTTACGAGGAGGAGGTGGCCGCCCGGCTGGAGGTGGGTCGCCGCCCGTCGGCCGCCGCTCCTGGCCGCTGGCCGCTGGCACCGCCACGCCTCCGTCAGGCCGCTGTCATGCCACAGTGCTGACTTTGCTGGCTAACTTGTTCCTTTTGCTTTTATGGGTTGTGTAATCGAAAGTTGCGGTCGTTCCTGATGCTATTTACCCTCATGTTGACGTACGTTGGGTACGTGGCGACGTTTTGTGAGCGCTTGTCTGATGCGGCGCGCCCTCTGCTGTTGCTGTGCGGGGGCCGTGACACCCCTGATCTCCGGTACCGAAGTGTTGTCTCCCACCGCCTGCGCTCTGTCGTCGGCTCCGCACGGTGGACTCGTGTCGGCGCCTCTCACGACCGCCACGACTGCACGCCTAGCGCACGGTCCCGGCCGATGCCGGCGGGCTACCACCGGCTGACGCTGGGCCCCGCCGCCGCCGCAGGAGCTCTACGAGGAGTCGTCGCGCACGGGCCGCTGGCACCGCGACCTGCAGCTGGGCGAGGACGGCTACGCCATCCTGCACTCGCCCGGCTGCCTGGTCCACCACCCGGGCATCACCGCCGCCTGGGAGCACGTCAACCTGCCGGTGAGGTGCCGCCCGCTCCGGCTGGCGGACGCTCCGGCGCCCAAGTCGCCGCCGCCGCCGCCGCCGCCGCGCTGTGCGGTGTCCGGCCGCCGCCGCCGCGCTGTGCGGTGTCCGGCCGCCGGCGCCCGTGCGAGCGCACGCGATCGCGCACGGACGCCGCGCCCGCGCGCAGGCTGTTGCGCACGCATTAACGCGCGCACACATTCGCACACGAAGGGAAGCATACCCATGTTCCTACGTGGGTGGGATAATCCGGGGAGACCACGCCAGATGCAGATGCAGCTGGAGCGCGCCGTGACGTTTGTGGCGCGCCGGCAGGACGACCCGAGCCGACCACGCCAGCTGCGCCGCGGCTGGGACACGGTGGAGGGCGCCGTGACGCCGGCCGACGAGCCGGAGCTGGTGAACCATCTGGTGTTCGTGGTGCACGGCATCGGGCCGTGGTGTGACCTCAGGTTTCGGCGGGTTACCGAGTGCGGTGAGTGTCCGGCCGGGCAGGGGGTGGTTGATCGGACGCCCTGGCTGCTGTGGTGACGAGCGTGTTAGGCGGTGCTGGGAGAGCTTTGTGACGTGGTTCGGTATTGGTTTCATAGCCAGTGGGTAGCACAGTGTGCGTAGGATGGTGCTCCCGACGGGGAGCCAACTGCCGTCTGCGCTGGCTGCCGTACTTCTTGCGTCATAAGCGTCCGCGAAACGAAAACTCATGCGTCCGAAAAGGATGTGCTGGGCGATGAGTCCTGCTCTCCTGGTCACCTTCCGTGCCAGTTCGCGAGGCGTCTTCTGCTGTGACAGCCATCGGTGGCCGATGACCTGATCCGGTGGGGACCGTGCTTGACTGACGTGATCGTGGTGGTCGACTCCGGCGTGTCGCGCCACGCCTCCCCTGCCCTGCTCAGCGCCGACCGCCACGCACCGCCTGCCTGCCTCCCCCGCCCTGCTCGGTGCCGGCTGCCCCGCCCCACCTGACGCGCCTCCCCTGCCCTGCTCGGTGCCGGCTACCCCGCCCCGCCCACGCCGCCTCCCCTACCCTGCTCAGCGCCGACCGCCACGCACCGCCTGCGCTGCCTCCCCTGCCCTGCTCGGTACCGGCTGCCCCGCCCCGCCTGACGCGCCGCTCCCGCGCCTCCAGTGGATGACATGCGCCTGATGGCGGCCGAGATGGCCTCGTCGCACTTCGGCGGCGCGCTGCAGTCCGGCCAGCTGGGCCGGGTCGAGTTCCTGCCGATCAGCTGGCATGACGCGCTGCACGGCGCCGCCAACGGCCTGGACGAGGGCCCTCCGGCTCATCACGCTCCCCAGCATCCCTCTGCTACGCGAGTTCACAAACGACACGATCGTGGACGTGCTCTACTACACCAGCCCCATGTTCTGCCAGGTGAGAGCGCGCGCGGCTGCTTGTCGACGCACGTGACGTCTGCGATCGTTAGCGGCACCGTTTGGGGTCAGAAGCTTGCGTGGATAATGAGGGATGCGGGACGCCACCAGCCGAGCCCGCGCTGTGCATCCGTCGCCGCCGCAGGTCAGCCGTGTCTGGCGGCGCGGGAGGCCATCGGTCCGTCTGTCGCCGCCGCAGGTCAGCCGTGTCTGGCGGCGCGAGAGGCCGTCGGTCCGTCTGTCGCCGCCGCAGGTCAGCCGTGTCTGGCGGCGCGAGAGGCCGTCGGTCCGTCTGTCGCCGCCGCAGGTCAGCCGTGTCTGGCGGCGCGGGAGGCCGTCGGTCCGTCTGTCGCCGCCGCGGCTGACCTTGTCTGGCGGCGCGGACGGGCGCCGGTCCCGTCCATCCGCGGCCGTCGCGGCTGACCGACGTCCTTTTTCGCAGCTCATACTCCGCACCGTCGGCAACGACATCAACTCCATCTACGCCAAGTTCTGCCAGCGCCAGCCGGAGTTCTCTGGCGCCGTCTCCGTGGCGGGACACAGCCTGGGCTCGCTCATTCTGTTCGACCTGCTTTCGAACCAGACCGGCGAGCAGCCGGAGACCGCGGTCAGTGGCCGCTCGGCGCACGTTCTGCGTCCGATCCGAATCCTGTCCATGTGGGGTGCTAGCGCGCGTCGTTGTCATGGCTGGGGTATTCAGCCTGCCTCCGCGCGTGTCTGTGCGCGTATGGGCCACCTGTGCCGTAGTCAGTTTTAGTAGTATAAGTAAAAGTGGCAGTAGTTTTAGTAGTTCTGGTATTTAGAGAATCAGCAGAGAATCAGCAATGACGTCGGTGTTGGCGTCGTAGTCTGAGCCGGGGTCGGAGGCCGTCCGCTGACGGCTGTGGTTGGACGTCGTCAGGCGGCGGCCGCAACCCAGCAGGAGGCGCCCGCCTCCGAGGACGACCGGTTCGCCGGCGTGCTCGACTCGTTGAAGCTCAGCCACCACGCGGAGACGCTGCGCCGCGCCGAGATCGCCGACCTGACGGCGCTGCGCCGGATGACGCCGCAGGACGTGGACGCGCTGGGTCTGCCGGTCGGCGCCCGTCGTGCGCTCCTCTGCTGGCAGGAGGAGGTCAGCGGCAGCGTGAGTGCGGACGGCGGCAGCCCCCGCCCGCCCGTCTCGGGGTGGTACCAGTAGGGTGGCCGTGTGTGTGATATAGCAGGTCCAAGCCAGCGCCTGCTGGTGACCGGGCACGGTGCAGCCCGTCGCCCGTGTGGTAACCGCGTGCTGTGCTTCAGGTTCCGGCCGACAAGATGGTGACGGTGTCGTACAACTCTGGCACTGGCCAGCCGGCCATGGAATACCCTCAGCTGGCCTTCAAGCCAGACTGCTTCTTCGGCATGGGAAGCCCCATAGGTCGGTGAGCCCGTGCGTGCTTTTTGTGTGTGGGCAAGTCTTAAACAGGCTGACTGATCTATGACGCGGAAATAAACCTTTTGGGACTAAAGCACCAGTTGTGCGATCACTGAGAGGGCACTGAGGCTTCAATGGTTTGCTGTGAGTGGAGCAATAGGACTTATATGTCACTGAATATGTATGCAAGATTGTTTCCTAGAAGCGGCTGACAAATTAACAGACAAACTTAAACCCGGTTTAAGTAAGTCTCTCGCTGTCCGCCGTACCATGTCGCGCGTCAAAACGTGCCCACTGCACCGTTCGCGCTGTGCTATCGCTTTTGCCGCCACTGTGACGGCCGCGACCATGAGCCGCGCGGTGCTCCACGCGCCATCGCTCTCGGGCCTGCTCGGGCCGGTGCTCCACGCGCCATCGCTCTCGGGCCTGCTCGGGCCGGTGCTCCACGCGCCATCGCTCTCGGGCCTGCTCGGGCCGGTGCTCCACGCGCCATCGCTCTCGGGCCTGCTCGGGCCGGTGCTCCACGCGCCATCGCTCTCGGGCCTGCTCGGGCCGGTGCTCCACGCGCCATCGCTCTCGGGCGTGCTCGGGCCGGTGCTCCATACACCATCGCTGCCGGGCTTGCTCTGGCCGGCCGTGCGGCGTGCCACCTGAGATGCGCGGTTGTAGCGTGCGCGCCTCTGTGCCGGGCAGCCGTGTTCCTGCGCATCCGAGGTGTGAGCCAGCTGGGGCCCGACTACCGGCTGCCCACGTGCCGGCGCGTGTTCAACATCTATCACCCGTACGACCCGGTGTCGTACCGCATGGAGCCGCTCATCCAGCCGGAGATGGTGCGCCGCCGGCCCGTGCTCGTGCCGCACCACAAGGGACGCAAGCGGATGCACCTGGGTGAGGACGAAGACGCGCCGAGCCGACCGAGTCCCGAGTCCCGAGTCCCGAGTCCCGAGTCCCGAGTCCCGAGTCCCGGGTCTTGAGTCCCGGTTCATGGATCATGGATCATGAGTCATGAATCGTGAATCATGGGTCTGGGGTCCTGGATCGTGGATCATATATCATGGATCATGGGTCTTGGGTCTTGGATCATGGGTCTGGGATGTTGGGTCTTGGGGCTTGGATCATGGGTCTTGGATCTTGGATCTTGGATCACGGGTCTGGCATCTTTGGTCTTGGGTCTTGGGTTTTGGGTCTGGGATCTTGGGTCTTGGGTCTTGCGTCTTGCGTCTTGGATCATGGGTCTTGGGTGTTAGATCTTGGATCATGGATCATGGGTCATGGGTCATGGGTCATGGGTCATGGATCACTGGTCATGTACCATAGGTCACGGGTCATGGATCGTGGGTCTTGGGCCTTGGGCCACCGGGCTGTCGACCGTCGCTCCCGACAGCCGTCTGCCAGGCCGGGCAGAGTCGCTGCTGTCGCCGGGGCTGACGGGCGACCACCAAGCGGTCCGGGCATTGGCTAGCGCGCGCTTCTCCGCCTATGAATGGTGGAGGGGCAGGGGGGGGGTGAGGTGGGCATTGTGGAAGGGCGCCTGCGCCAGCCGTGTTCGAGCGCATCAGCTTTCCATGCTCTGTGAGACCTACTACGCGTGCAAGGCCCACACATGTATGTCGCAGCCAGCCCGGCTGTGTGACGCGCTGACGCGGCTCTGTCTCTCCTCCAGAGATCAAGGACCAGATGGTGCGCATGGGCACCGAGCTGAAGCAGAAGCTGCTGTCGTCGCTGCAGATGACGCTGGGCTCCGTCTACAAAATGGGCTGGACGGCGGCCGACGACGACGCCGCGGAAGAGAGCACAGCCGCGGCCGGCGACGAGGGCGACGAGGACGATGCGCTCAGCCTCCCGGTGAGTGGCTGGTCGGGGAGGAGCCGGCTTCGGGTGGCCCCTCTCGTCCTGCGGTGAGTGGCCGGTCGGGGAGGAGCCGGCTTCGGGTGGCCCCTCTCGTCCTGCGGTGAGTGGCCGGTCGGGGAGGAGCCGGCTTCGGGTGGCCCCTCTCGTCCTGCGGTGAGTGGCTGGTCGGGGAGGAGCCGGCTTCGGGTGGCCCCTCTCGTCCTGCGGTGAGTGGCCGGTCGGGGAGGAGCCGGCTTCGGGTGGCCCCTCTCGTCCTGCGGTGAGTGGCTGGTCGGGGAGGAGCTGGCTTCGGGTGGGCCCTCTCGTCCTGCGGTGAGTGGCCGGTCGGGGAGGAGCCGGCTTCGGGTGGGCCCTCTCGTCCCGCGGTGAGTGGCTGGTCGGGGAGGGGCCGGCTTCGGGTGGCCCCTCTCGTCCTGCGGTGAGTGGCTGGTCGGGGAGGAGTCGGCTTCGGGTGGGCCCCCCCGTCCTGCGGTGAGTGGCCGGTCGGGGAGGAGCCGGCTTCGGGTGGCCCCTCTCGTCCTGCGGTGAGTGGCTGGTCGGGGAGGAGCCGGCTTCGGGTGGCCCCTCTCGTCCTGCGGAGGCCACGCGTGGTGCTCCAGGCCGCGCCGAGCGTCGACGTCCCCTCTCCACCCACGTCGATGTGATGCTAGTGACCGGTGCGACCAGAAGAGTGTGCGGCGACGCGTGGTTGTCGGTGGGAGGATAGAGCGTCTTGTGCTGCTCCGGTCAGCTCCGAAGGGTTTGAGCTGGGCCGGGTCCGCTCGTCAGGAGGTTTGTGCCCTGAGTTGGTGCGTTGCTCCTGCCACACCTGCGGAGGTGTGGTACAGGACGTTCTGTACCCCAGTCTTGTCACCCTGGCTGTGGATCTGCGGGCTGTCTCTGTGTGTTGGCCCTCCCAGTGGCCAGGCTTCGTACCCCCTCCCCCCTCGTGTTGCCCCAGCTCTCCTGGCACGTCCCGTGACGTCGCTCCAGTCCCTGACTCGTCCCATGGTGTTGCTCCAGCCCCTGACTCGTCCCATGGTGTTGCTCCAGCTCCCGGACTCTCCCCTGACGTCGCTCCAGCTCCCTTACTTATTCCATGGTGTCGCTGCAGCCCCCCCCCCCCCTGACTCACCCCCTCGCCCTGCGCAGGTGGGCTCGCTGAATGGCGGCCGGCGCGTCGATTACGTTCTGCAGGAGAAGCCGTTCGAGTCGCTCAACGAATACGTGTTCGCCTTCCAAAGCCACCTGTGTTACTGGTGAGACGGGCGCAGGGCAGCAGTGTGCGGGCCACGGCCACCCCCGCGCGGAGGGTCGGTGGAAGCGGGTGGGGTGTGTGCCGAGGATATCAGAATAGCGGTGTATGGGTGTTACTTTATTGACTGCCGTGATTTTAACTGGGGTTTAGAGTTGGGAAACGGGGTCGGCAGGGGTAAATCAATGGTGGCTTACAAGCCGGAAGTACGTGCGGGCAGGGATTAATAAAAACGGACGCGGAGCGGAATGGAGGACATGGTTTTTGCTTTGTTTGGTTGGACTAGATCGTTTCCATATCCGGCCGCATGTTGACTGACTTGGGCCGGTCTGTGGCCGTCGCCAGGGAGTCTGAGGACACGCTGTTGCTGCTGCTGAAGGAGGTGCTGCGGGGCTCCGGCATCGAGTTGGAGTCTCCCTCTCAGCGGCCGCCGCCACCCGAGGCGACCGCCGCCACCGGTACCGCCGCCACCGCCGCCGAGCCTGTCCTTATGTCTTCCGCTGCCGACGTCATGCCTGCGCCTACTGCTGCGACCGCCGCCCCAGTTTGTCTCGTCGCTGTGGCGGCGGCATCGGACGGCGCAGCTGCGTCCGGCGACGTGGCCAGCGGGCCGGCGCCGGCGCCGGCGTGCGTGCCTGCGGCGGCGGGCGCCGGCGGGCTGGGGCCGGGGCCGGGGCCGGGGCCGGTGCGGGCCGTGGGCGGCCGGCCGCTGCAGGTGCCGTCAGCGGCCGGCGGCCCGGTCGGCATGGACCCGACGGTGGCGCCGAGCGACGCCGGAGCCGGCCCGCTGCCGCCGCCGCCCATGGCCGGCTTCCGGCGCAGTTAACCGGTTCTCTCGCCCCGCCCCGCCCTGGCCCGGCCCGCGGCGCCGCCTGCACCCTGACAGCGGACCTGCTCGCGCCTTTGCTCCCCCGCCTCGCACCCATCCCCTCTGTCGTGAACCTCGCCGGCGCCGGCGCCAGCGGGCGGGACCAAGCCGCGGCTCCGACGGCGAAACAGTGCAGAACGCTGCCGGTGGACGGTCAGGACGATCTGTGGGCGCTTCAGGTAGCTGGTGTCAAACGCGTGCCCGGCGTGCGCGTGTGAGCGGTGTCCGGCGGACGCTGCTCTGGGAATGGGAGGTGGCGGAGCGCCGGCGGCGAGTGCGGCACGGGAGAGGAGCGCAGCGCGCCCGGACCATGTACACGTGCTGTGCGCGTGCTGCGTGCCGGGCCTAGCTGCCGGCGCATGGTATGTGTCTCAAAGTGTGCTGTGTGCCCGCCATTACGAAAGGGCTGCTTCTCAATGGTCGCATCTTAGTTATCGAGAGCGGATCGTATAGGCAAGTGCCAACGCTTCGGTGCGTGATGTAACGGGTTTTACACGTCTGCGTTGCCATGCCTTAAGGTGTTCTGGGGGCGCCCCGTGGCCTCAATGGTACAACCGGCCTACTGGGGCGAGGAACCTCTATATCCCTGTACACGCTTGGGGCGTCCCGGTACCCGTCCGGAAGGGCCTGTGGACCCTGCTTCCTCGGTTGTGATTTCAATGCAGACGCGCAGGCAGGTGGCTGCCGTACCCATCTGTCCCGTGCGTGACGCGCACGCACCGGCGTGTGCGACCACTTCTGAGTAGGGGCTGGCGCAGGGTACGCCAGGCGGCCCTGCGCGGCCGCGGGCCGCCAGAACCTCGCCCGCCGCGGCGCGGCGCTCTGGCGCCGTGCGCCGTGGCGTGGACGGGGCGTTTTCGGTGCCGGTCTTACGGCGCTGCGCTGTGGGCTCGTTCCCGCTGATCGGTTGTGATGCGGTGACTGGTAGCGGCACAGACGGGGGAGGCGGGGAGGCCCGGCACACCGGCGAACACTGCGAAGGGCGTCTGCTCGTGTATTCAGTGTTATATCGCAAAACCTGTACAGTTAGGGGTCCGTAAAGAACATTAATGTTCCATGTGACTGCCATTGCTTTGGGGCAATACATGACCGTTGGAAGGGTGGTACTGTCTACGTCATCTTACGAAGGCACTCGCTGCGTCCTGCCAGAGCGATGCGTAACCAATTACCACTACGACGTGCTGATCGACCGGCGGGTGTGGGGTGACCGTCGTTTGTGCCGACAATGGCTCATGCCGACTGGAGTCTGGGGACACGCCGGGTGGCAGACGACACAGCTGCGCACGCATTCGCCGCGGGGACGGCGGCCGGGCGAGTCGACGGCAGGTCAGGGCGACATCACTGGCGAGCGCCCGCCGGTGCGGCTCCGCGGCTGGGTCTGCCGCGTCGCACTCTTCAGTGACGCCCCCAGCGTGGAGCAGCCTCTGAGGGCGGAGAAGGCGGCGGGTCGCTCGGCACGGGGGTCGGGGCGCTGGAGGCTGGCCGTACCGGTCTCGGGCCGGCTGCGGCGTCGGCTCGAACGCTCTAGGATCGGTTCCACCTTCACCGGGACGCCGGAGGAGCAGCTGCTCTCGTGAACGCCATGCTGTGACGCCAGCGTGACGTCACGGACAGCCGGAGCGGAGCCGTCGGCCGCTGAGGTGGGGGGACATCACGCTGTGATGTCGCTGTGACGTCACACGGCCTCCACTTGGGCGGCGAATGCTTGGCGGACGACTTACGGGGCGCTGCGTCGTCACATGCCCTTCCGGCCATTTCCTGGAGTGGTGCCGTGACGTCACTGTGACGCCGGCCAACGCGGGAGACGCCGTGGTGAGAAGGGCGGCGTCCGGTGCTGCCACCTGTCCAGACGATCCGACGGCACTAGTTGAACAGCAGGTCGTTGTAGTGGCTAAGCAGGTAAGCGTTGGTCACCTTGCACGTGGTGGAGGTCCGCACCACCGTCGATCGGTCGGCCCGCTCGAAGTTCGACTTGACGACCTCGTAGTACTTGCCGTCACTGCAACGGCACGCTGGTGTCAGACCGCACTACACTGGTGGGTGTGAAACGTCATTAGTTCATGACGTGGAAGCTTCATAGCGGATACGAAGAGCATACTGACCTGAGTACCAGACAGACAGCACAGCCTCAGACAGCGTACTGACCTGAGCACCAGACAGCACAGCCTCAGATAGCGCACTGACCTGAGCACCAGACAGCACAGCCTCAGACAGCGTACTGACCTGAGCACCAGACAGCACAGCCTCAGACAGCGTACTGACCTGAGCACCAGACAGCACAGCCTCAGACAGCATACTGACCTGAGCACCAGACAGCACAGCCTCAGACAACGCACTCGGACGGCGTCGATAGCCTTCTGACTCTTGTCGGAGAAGCGGACGGTCTCTGGGTCCCAGCAGATCTCGAGCCGCTCCAGCTGGCCGCAGCTGGTGGCGATCGCGTCCATAATCTGGTCCACCGGGATCTTCTTACTTAGCCCCTCCAGAGTGAAGGTGCCCATCTTAAGGATCCTGACCAATGGACCGACGTCAGGGGCACGCTCTTCCCAGTACTTCGAGTCGTGGACGGGCTACGTCTTCACGCAGTTGAGGGAGAGGGCAGAAGCCCTTCGGACCAGCTTGACCGTACCAAACTTATCACAAACGATCGCGCTCATTACTATCCACAGACAGCTGCAGGCAATGCAGATGAAAGCAATAACGCGAATGGATCGGCCAGATCGGTGGTGCCGACGGCAAGCATACGAGCTTAAGCATAAGCCACAGCGAAAGTTACCAGACCTTTTAAAGGATGGTAGAATGATTACGGGATTGCAATTAACGTGATTACAGATTCCTATCAGAGTCTGTGCCCCACCGAGAGCTTTGCGTTCCGGCCGCTCTGCCGGCTGTCCCGGACTGCGCCGACTCGCCGGCCGCGCCGCGGGCGTTCTCTGGGACACCATCTCACCTGACATTCTTCAGTGACGGCATGACCTTCAGCCAGAGGGAATCGCTGACATGCGGGATGCCGGAGAGCACCAGACCCTGCAGCTGGAAGCCGTACTTGTAGAGGAAGGCGAAGAGGCCCTCCTCCGAGAGGCTGTCGCATAGGTCCAGGTCCAGCGCCACCAGGCTGCGCGGGTTGCCCTTCTCGATGTAGGCCTTGAGCACCTGGTCTGTGAAGCCGTCCTGCTGGCCGGCGCTCAGCCACCTGGCGGCAGAGGAGCGCCAGTGCCAAGCCGTGCGGAAGGCGCAGCTGACTCGGCTCCAGCGGCTTCACAGCTGGTGTCCACCGGTAGCCGCCGGACACAGCTGCACTGCCGCTATCCGGCGGCTCCAATGCCGCTGCGGACAGCGCCTTCGTGGATGGGATGAGAGAGCTGTCGCGATGTTTGCGACATCAACGTGTTCTCAGTGATGATTGCGAGAATGTTCTGATGCCTGTTGAGCTCCGCGAGGTTTGGTTTCCAGCACAGTTTATACCTACTCTCTCGGGGCGATACGCCCTGTGCTGCTGACAGACATGTACCCGGATCCACAATGTCGATCACGGATCCCATGAGGTTCCGTACTTATGATATCCAGAGACCGGATCCCGGGCTCTTTTTGGGGCTCCAGGCCCATGTCTGGTTGCTGGCGTGTCGTGAGTTCAGCCCCTGTAGCTGTCACTCTCTCCCATGCAGCCACCGCTTCCATATTCGATGCTCACAGCTACATGCATACATCCCTCCCCTTAATGTACCATCTCCAACCAGCCTTGCAGCACAACACAGCAACACCCATACATCCTCTGCCCTCTGTGCGATCTCTCCAACCAGCCTGGCGGCACAACACAGCAGCACCCATGCATACATCCCTTCCCCTCATTACGGCACCTCCAACCAGCCTGGCAGAACAGCCAGACCAGAACAGAGGGTGGCCAACCAGAACAGAGGGTGGTCAACCAGAACAGAAGGTGGCCAGGCGGGCCGAGACTCGGCGATCGCTGCCTCGGTCCTATACTGACCGCAGCGCCGGCGTCCTGGTGAGCAGGTCGATCAGACACTCGGTGCTGAGGTCAGTGGCCGTGATGTCCAGTTCTTGCAGCGCCGTCTTCTCCCACTCCACGGCCATCATGTGCTCGCTGCTCAGACCTGGACACACCGGCAGAGGCGTCGCTCAGCACGGCCGCACCGGGTCATGAGCAGGCGGGGCAGTGAGTGGTGGGAACGGGGGTCAGCCGTCGCATGTCATCGGAGATGAGCAGGCGGGGCGATGTGTGATGGGAACAGGGACTAGCCATCACATGTCATCGGAGGGTACCATCAATGGCGAAATCATTACACAAAGTAGGCACAGGCTACATGTTTGCAAAGGAAGTACAATAGTAGTGAGGGTGGATGTATGCTGGAGACGAATTCGTCGTAAACTGGACATCGGTGAGCTCAGTACCACGCTGCAGGAGTTGACCATACGCTGCTCATTACTAGGGGAGTGCGAGTGACGACAGCTGCTCGCTGTCACAAGAGTCGTGGGCCGCGCTGTTCAGAGTGCAGTGTCTGTCATGACCAACGCCCGCTCACGCGACCGCTCCATCAAGGCCGTTCTAGTCGGCCTCTGGGCAAGCTATCGGCGCTCGTCTCCCCTATGTCAGGACATGTCGGACTACTACCAGGGCAGGCGCCTGAGCATAGCTCCAATGTCATTCCGGGCACTCGGCATGCCTTGTATAACGGTAATATTTGCATGGGATGTCTTTTCCATGACGGCCGAGCTGGTGTGCGAAAGCCACGGGGGTTGCAGTTCCGTGTAAAAACGGACGAAAACGGCCTCAGCAGAGCAAAAGATCACACTCAATTCCGGGGGAAGGGGGAGGGGAGGGGCTGCACAGTAGCACGATGGGAGGCGGAAAAGCCTGTCTGTCCTCGCGCTTTTTGATCCTCTCCGAAGCGTGCTTGCCGATGCTTTTGCCTTTGAGCACACTACACTCTGCGAGTACGAATCAAGGACTATTCGGTTTTTGTGCTGCATGAGCCGCTCTTGACCGGACGCGCGCCCAATGTTTTTGCTTTCGATGAAGGCAAGTGTGACAATCTGACCTTGGCCTGAGAACATGGTGTTTAGGATACAGTTCGTGGTAACATTGAAGAGCACAGGACCATTTGACTCCGTCCCAAAGAACTCACATAGGCTTCTACTCTCATTTCACAGGTTTCCAGGGGCAGATATGCCTCTGCAGGCACCCTTTCTCGTGCGCCAGGAATGTGCGAAGCGGCGGGGATGTGTGACATATCGCCCAGCTGTGATCCCGCGCAGTATTTCCGCTTACTCGTCTGCTGACACTGCAGTGACCTCAGCTTTCTGCAGCGTTGAAACAGGATCCGGAAGGACGAGCCGGTCACCTTGGCACAGAAGTTGATAGCCAAACACTCCATCTGGAAAAAAGTGGGGGATGGCACTGAGCAGAACCCTGCTAGCGCGTGCTCTGTGACCGCCTAGCTCGTAAACACATTTTCGCCGATCTAAGCGCGTCACGTCCGTCTCCGCGCAGGATGTTCGTTTATGTACGTATTACAGCACCAATTCCTAAAGAATATGTGTATTGGGGGTCATTCAATGCTCGGATTGTTTTGATTGTCCGGAAGGCTCACGGGTAAATAAAATATACACACTGCCTGTCAGCTGCCAGCCAGTTGGACGGTATGGCTTAAGGGTATGAGTTCACGCAGAATGCATATAATGAACACGACACCGCCCACCCGTTTGATTCAAATGGACAAATATAACAGCTCATACAGAGCTCCACCAGTCAAGTTAAGGAGTAATACCACTGGTCTCCGTGTTGCCCTCCAAGCGAACCTAATGTACATCCGGCTCTGCACTGCTCACTCGTACCCCTATGCGGGATATAGACGTTCGGGCTCAAAATGCTCCGACGGCTAATTTATAAGCATTCAGGCCATCACAGTTTACACTGCTCCAGTGATGTTTATGAAAATATACCCTTCAGCTCTAAAATGCTCCAGTAGCCAGCTTAGAGCGATAGAGAGCGTCATGCTTCACATCACCGTCTGGATAGTTCATTGAGAAACAGTGGGTTATCGCGCATCACGCTCGTCCCCCAGCCACTTGTCAATCGTGATGTGCAACAATCTGATTCCACATCGTTTGCGAGGCCGATCGATGTAAATGTACTAAAGTATCGGGTCTTGGAGTGCCCTTTTGGCTCATTCACGGTGCTACGAAACATGAACCACCAATGCAATTATCTCTGAGCCGTGAGAGGGCTTCGCTGCCGGTGGGACGGAGCCCGGCACGCGGCGACGAACACAATGCTCCCGCTGGCGCAGAGCCTGGGACGCGGCGGTGGAAACAGCGCCCCGGTGGGACAGAGCCCGGCACGCGGCGACGAACACAATGCTCCCGCTGGCGCAGAGCCTGGGACGCGGCGGTGGACACAGCGCCCCGGTGGGACAGAGCCCGCGACGCGACGGTATTGATGACGACCCCGGTGAGACAGAACCAAACGCGGTGGTGGACACGTGACTCACCTGGATGCAGTTGGAGCTGAACGCCTCCACGTGCGTGTCGTCCACGAAGTTGATGCCGTACAGGTTCACCACTCGCAGGTTAGGCGTGGCCGACTTGAGCTTGTGCACGTTTACCACTTCGTAGATCTCCTCCTCCTCCTCTTCAATCTTCTCGTAGGTGCCTGCGGGATTGATTAAAACATCAAGGAAGTCTTCAGCACTGGTAATAACATGTGGCTGAACCGTGGCGTTTATCCCGGTATGCAGCTGACAGGTGCGAAGTTGCAGTGCAGCGGATCGTTATGAAAAAAATGCGAATTAAAATGAGCTGAATGCTTCAGATATGTGGCACATCATCAGGTCTGTACGTGCATTTATTTTATATCATGCATATCATTATGTTTTAAACTTGAAGCTAGCATTTCGTTGAAAACTAGCAGTAAGCATTCAGCCCATCCAAGGTCCTCACCGATGTTCTCTGCTCGAGCTCAACTAGATCCACACTAAAACCAGCGGCTCCCATGTCGCAACTACAAACAAACCGGCCTCGTTCTCAAGAATGTAATACGTACCGATAAGATGTAATACTTCCAAGCCGTTGATGAAGTTATAGATTTTTCGCATGAAGCCTTCCATGAATATGACCTCGGAGAGACAGATGCAGAGGTACCTCAGACGTGTGGGGAACGACTGCAGCAGGGTAGAAACGCTAGCGTCAGGCCGCAGACCCACTTCGCAACCATTAGTCGGTTTCCGTTCCGCCTAAACTTCTTTACAAAGTGAAGTTCACGCATGCCGGTGAAGGCGTGCGAGTTTGGGAGAGAGCACATGACATGGGATGAGGACTTTGATGTGTATGCAAGGGTCGACACACGAGTAAAACCTGCCAAACAGAACCCGGCTTTGAAACGCTGTGCGGACGTGCGGAACGTGCGGACGTGCGGACGTATGCGTCACTCATTGTCCGCTCATCTCGCGACAACACGAGACAGGTGGAGAGGTGGGTGGGAAGCGGCACGTCCGCCCGAGGACGGCTGTGGCCGACGGACCGACGACCGCCAGGGAGCCGGCCAGACCGTCACCGCAGTGCACGCATGGATGGCTCACTGAGCGCTTGACCAGCCGAAGCCAGTTCGTTGCGTCAGCCAGTCCAGCGAGAAAGCGTATTCTTGGATGGTGCGGAGACAAGGATAACCAGTGGATAAAGTATGAAGGCCTTCTTGTTTTTGTTAATCGGATCACGTCTGCAAATTCAATGAAACGATAAGGTCGTATCCGATTGGCGGTAAAATAAAAAGCATCGCCAAAACAGCAGTCGTCACATTTGTTGCTCATCAAGGGCTGACAGCATCACACTCCAGTCAAACATGTCCAGCGTCGCTGCTGTCTCCCTGAATCGCCCTAGGGATGGACGAGCGCTTCAGCGAAGTGGCTGTAAGACCACAGCCGCCCGCGCCCTGTCATCTTGCTGGACATTGGGGCTCTACGACGCACTCAGCTTGTTGAGGCTATGTGGCTTTGCCGGCCTCTCAACCCGGTAAAAAGGGCGGACACTGCGAGGAATCGAACCCGCACGTTTATCTCCTCAGACGCGTCGTCCTGTCGCCTGCTTTGAAACTTGTGCATTGCCATCAATCTGGTCGAATGAATCGTTGGGTGATATTCTTGCGTATGAGAGTCCTCAAAAAGTGTCATGCAGCTGCATGCGGCGGTCGGCTCTGTCAAAGGCTTTCCCTGATCGGGGGAACGCGACGCCTGTCGGGCATCATCAGCACATTGTGGTGTGCCCCCGCCCTGGTCTGAAGCCACTCCTACCCTGATCCGACCCTGCCCTGGCCTGTCCTGGCCCGACCCTGACCCCGCCCTGCCCCGGCCCTCCCCTGGCCCTCCCCTGACTCCGTCCAGGCCCGACCCTGCTCTGGCCTGCCCTGGCATGACCCCACCCTGCCCTGGCCTAACCTTGCCCCCGCCCTTGCCTGACTCTTCCCCTGCCTTGGCCAGACCCTGCCCCTGCCCTGGCCCGACCGCTTCTGCCGCACGCATCGACAGAGGACGGGTTTTCTGACCGCTGCATCACAATGGTGACGATCTCGGACAGTCCAAATGTAGTCGTCCTTGCAATGCACGTGGACAATTTCACGGCCAGCAGCTAGACCGCGAGCGGCCACGCCCTGGCCGGCCTCCGGCAGCCGAAGCTGACCTGCATGTCGCTGAAGTCGTGCAGCTGCATGGCCGTCGAGAAGTCCAGCAGCATGTACGTCAGGTTGGGGCACTTGCTGGCCAGCTCGTGCAGGACGGCGTTGGTGGTCAGCTCGATGGGCAGCTCGATGTAGCGCAGCGAAGGCCCGAACCGAACGCTGCGGGGCAGTGACGGGTGTGAGAGTCAGACGCCGGCGAAGGGGCAGGGACCGGTGTGAGAGCCTGACACTGGCGAAGGGGCTGGTGAAGGGGTAGGGACCGGTGTGAGAGCCTGACACTGGTGTGAGGGCCTGACACTGACACCGGTGTGAGAGCCTGACGCTGGCGAGGGGGCAGGGACCGGTGTGAGAGTCTGACACTGGCGAGGGGGCAGCGGCGAGCACTGCACACGGGCTAAAGTTCGAATACAATAACGGGCCACTGATTCAGACGTGATAGGCGATGGTGATGGGAAAAACGAACACTGGATTACGAATAGAGATGGTAAATAGTCGCTGGTGAAGGCAAGCATTTCGGGACCAGACTTGCGCGGGAGCTCTGGTCCCAGAAATCCATTCACTCAAAAGATTCGGATTCAATGAAAAAAAAGTAACGACAGCAGGTAGGTGGCAACCAAACAAGCAATGGAGCCAAGTAAACACAACCTGCTCACTGGGTACGAGGGAAACCTTTCCACGCAGAGTATAAGTCGACGATGGTAATCCAGAAACCGTTGCAGCAAACGGGTACGATTAAATGACAACTGAAGCAGAGCGCCACTGTTCCATGACGGCAAGAAGCCTCAAAACGTGGATCGCTTGTGAGGTCCAGGTCCAGGTGCGGCGACGCAGAGATTTTTCCTTTGGCGAGCCAGTCCATGGGCCCAGCAGCCCGGTAGATCTGGGGCAGTATCTGGTAGATAGCAGATGCTGGGGTCCTTATTCCTTCCTCTATCTGCGATGTGTTCTGTTATTTTTCTCTCTCTTTTTTTACAAAAGACCTCCTAATTATGCATAGATAATCGAATAAAAGCTCTTGACCTCATGGGGCTACCAGTCCTTCTAATTGGGGCCTCCAATTGGGCTGGCAAGGCGTCCTTTTTAAGGGTTTTGATGAGTCCCTTTCGGGTCACTTGAGGCCTCCTGCCGACGAATATGTCGGGTACCCAGGTCGGGCATAATGTCGGGCACCGAGAGCCCCTATTGTATTGTCTTGTGCCTCTTCTCCCCTCTGTTATCCCCCCCCCCCAGAAATCCCCCTGTGGTCCTTTTGATTTAACGGAATGCTGTGTCGGTCAACTTGGGTCTGCTGTCAACGTAATGGGCCTTCTGAAATTATTAGGGAGCCAAAATTAGCCTCCTTGGCAAGTGGCAAGTATGGCGGAGGCCCTTTACTCCCCCTCCCCGATGGCGCTGCCCCTGGACAGATGAGATCCCGACATTGCGCTTATTGGAACGTCTGCCAGGGGATGGTGTGGGCCCGGACCAGAATGACATTTCCTTTGCTCTGGTGTCACGCTGGATAGAACAGCTGCCTTGTGGGGGATTATGCATCCTGGCTGTGGTCGGAGAACACTCGGCTGTTCACAGCACGAGGGTGTCCTGATGGAATATTCCTCATGTGATGGAATATTCCTCATGTGATGGAATATTCCTCATGTGATGGAATGTTCCTCATGTGATGGAATATTCCTCATGTGATGGAACAATGTCACCTGATCAAAGCACAGGAGCCAAGCAATCTCATTGGAGGTGTGTCGCGAACACAGTCACTTGATCAGAACACAGGAGGCCTGCGTTCTGACCGGACGCGGGGAGTGGGAACGTCCCCCAGGTCAGAGAACGGGAACCCCACGTGGTGACTGTGTGATGTGGGTGAGTGATGTGACCCCACTCACCTGATCAGCGCCTGCAGGGACTCCGAGTTCTGGACGTAGAGGCCCGACACCTCGGGCCTCATGGACACGACCGACCACAGCGACGAGTCGTACGCGATCTGACGCCACTTCCTGCACACGTGCGCGTACGTGGACACCTCGCGGTGGGTGAGGAAGGAGAAGATGCGCAGCAGCACCTTGTCCGGTAGCTTGTCGATGGTCTGCCGGCGACGTGGAGCCGTTCAAACAGAGCAGCCACTGCGGGACTTCACTGCGCACACTATCCGGTCACCGCAGCGCCGAACACGGTAGCGAACAGCTCCACGCACGTGCCGTGATATAAGCAGAAGGCACTTTTGCATTGGCTTCGTCGGGCAAAGAACAGCGGAGGGTGAGTGATGCTGAAGAACTACATGAGTACTCTTAATTAAACTAGCGATTCATTCAGACCAATGCGGTGACAATTGATGCAAAAGCAAGTTATCAATGACATTTGCATGCAGGAACGCATCGGTTATGGGCCAGAAGGATAAAAGAGATAACACGCCGCAGGGAGCCGGTTCGTCCGCACTGAAGGCAGATTTACTCCTACGTCCGCAAATTTCCTCATCGCTAATGGGCAGTACGTTATTTACAGGCCCACGTTGAACTTCATCATAGTTTACTACCCGGTCACGGTAATTCAAGAACGATAATGGATCTTTTCGAGAGTAAAACTTTATTCACCCGTCGGGCACGTCAGTTTTATTTTAAGAGAGTGAGGCGCTTGTTTCTTTCAGTGAAGCCGTTTCACCGCTGCATTACTCGTGGACCGCGGGCACGTCTTTGCTTCCCCCCCCCCCCCCCCCCCCCTATCGGAAGAATATCTGTGTCAAACCATGAGTAAAATACAATGCGCAACGTTAAGTCTGTCGCATTTACCCATAGCCACCCGGCCTATTCCCCGCGTTCTCTTAAGCCTACCCGTGGCTCAAGGGCAAGTTTCTCGCGTAAAAATTGCGACGTCCTACGTTAGGTCGCCATTTAGTACGTTGTGCGAGTGGCTCGTAGACGGAGCACGTGCTTTGAGAGCATGCTCCGTGGGTTACTGAAACTGTAATCGTTATACGTAGCGCAGAGTCTGAAGTGTGTGAGAAGTGGCGCCCCAAGTAATATCGGCAAGCCCGGAAAAGCCGCACACAATCTGCGTCTTGTGATATTCTCGCCTTGGAGACACTTAGCGCACGTCTGCGCCATTTTTCTTGGTTTGACTGTCAGACACTGATCGCAATACCTCATGTATGTACCACCTTGATGGTTGGTGGAAGCTCAGAAGAACCTTCAAAATTGTTTCCAAGGTATGTGTGCACCTTAAAGAACCGTGAGCATCACGATTGTCGATTTGTATTCTTTTGGGTGGGACACTACCTCCCCCCAAATGCCCAGTCTGCTCCCCCCCCGCCCAACAGTGAGTTTGGCCCCCACATTTCTGGAAGCTAAATACAAGCAGGAAATTAGAAATGGTAGCTAAAACTATCTTTATTTCAAGGAAGGGTCCTACCAGCTGTTTCACAGGTAAAAGCAACAAAGAAAATGCAATTCACGATGTCATGTTCATCTTAGTGCAGCTGACTCAGCTAATTATTCTTTGAAAACTCCACATTCGCGCTCCGTTGAATTGAATATTTTCTGCTTTCCCTGTATGCGGCATGTTTTTAATTACACGATTAGTGCGTCTTGTTATTCTAGCCTAGTTTTATGCTATTATCTGAGTTTTGGCATTTTCAGCAATGTTTCAGTTTCTACATACAACAGCAAGTCACATTATAAGGGCACAAAATCTTATCGGAAATTGAAAACAAACCGGTCGAAGATTAGCACCCAAAAAACGTGATTTGGGTGCTATTATTGTGTAAATTCCAAGGCGTCTTTCCACGCTGGAAAGAAACCTTGAAATTTGTCGAACCTCAGCTGTACAAATTTGATATATTCCTCCGAACAGATAACCAACGACGGCGAAACGAACGAAAATAGAAACTCCACTTTTACTTGTCTGATTCCACCAGCAAAGGCCAGACAGGTTCGCGTTGCTGTGTATGCCTATCCGTTCCTCTTGTAAGCATTTCAAAATTGCACAGTTAAAGCACACCCCCAGATGATCTTAAAGCACGCATTGACGTTCTGAAACGTACAAACGTAGTTCTCCCAGAGATGTTATCTTTTTCGCCCGCCCGCTGGCCACCGTCTGGTGTTAGCCACGAGTCCACGCCGCGCGGCGTACGGAGACTGCAACGTCTGACGTCGGGGGGGGGGGGGGGGGGAGTTTGCTCGAAGACTGGTGGGCACGCATAGTCACAACTGTTCCGCAATTTTTCTACTACTCAATTCTGGACAATGGTTGAGCATTTCCAGACGGACATGGGCTGGCCATTTCAATACGATGTTATAACCAATGTCGATTTAGCTATCAACATCTATTTATCTATCTATATATAACTTTCATCTACGTTCAAAACTGTTATGAATTTTTTTCATTTATCAATCCTGGACAAAGGTTGAACAGTCTCAGACGAATATGGGTTGACCATTTGAATGCACTTTTGTGACCTCATTTCGATCTACAACCTGCTTTCACTATCATTTACGTTCACAAATCTTTGTACAACCCAGAACAAGTCGGGACGGCCCCTGAGTGTTCCTTGCTTAGAAAAAAAATTGACTGGACTATAGTCATTTCAATAGCCGTGAAAACTCACTTCACCCAATGATTTATTGTGAGGTGCCTGCAGTTTATTTACTTCAGAGTGCGAACAGAATTGCATCTTCCGCTGCCTCCTGCCTCAGTAAAGAATGTACAAATAAAGCAAAGAAAATCGTGCTCCTCAAAATCAGGTTGGCGATATCTGATTACCTTTTGAAGAAGTGGGCCCTTTGTGAGCCCAACGTCCCACCCATCCCTTTACCACTGCTCAGGCTGCCCCCCCCCCCCCGCCCCCCCATCCAGCAATCTGTCGAGGCCTCTGCTGGGCAGATCACATAGCAGCGCGGCGCGGCCTGCGCCTTGCCAGGACCCAGTTCCTTTATAAAATGAACTAAGCTGCGGTATTGCCCAGCAAGAACCAAACTTCTGCCCGGATAGGCATGCATCGCGTTTTTTCGCGAATTCCGTTGCAAAATGTGATCTGGCCGGGCGCGGGCCGGTTTCGCAGCAGTATTCAAATTCCTGCGCAGCATTTGCCAGCGGCCGCCATAGTTGTATTTTTACGGGCGATGGTGTGAGTGCCATGTGTCGTCCTGCGCGGCATTTCTACTGTGCGTCGTGCGTAGCTGGAAGCGAAGTCAAGATGTGTTAAGCCGTACAAACATCCAGGTAGGCTGACGGCATGCTTGCCAGGACACTCGTTGGCAACATGCGGCATGACCAGGTGAAAAAGATCAGAAATTATATCTGAATCGTGTGTCCAAAAACATTAAGTTTACGTTATCAGTTATCCGACAAGTTCTACTCTATATATTATCAAATTACTTGCATTATCCAATGACGATGAACAAGAATTAAAAGACTTCTTGGCCTGTGAATCCCAGTTTTTCGCGATCCCGTTCAGTTAGCCGAACAACCCCATTTTCGCGACATGGTCAGTGCGGGCTATCGTACATGGTGCCAGGCTAGCATGAACCGAGCCTAGTGTTAAACTACTTAACTGCGGATGACGACAGTATTGCTGTTGGAGGAGCGTTCCAATCACTCACGACCCAGGAGCTGAATGAGTTCCTACGAACGAAGATCCTGGCTTGAGGGCTTCTCAGCTTAAAAGGGTGTCGTCATGTCACTGCTGTGAGTCGTGTCTTTTAGGTAGCTCGCCCACAGGCAAAGGCACGCCTCCGTGACACGTCAGGAACACTGCAACCATGTCTCGCTCGTGTCGTTTGTAGTACAGCGAAGGTAGCTGGAGTCTGAGCCCCTCAGAATATGGCCGGTGCCTTAAACGCGTAGCGCGTCATTGGACGTGTTCCAGCCGCTCCTGATCCAGCTTGCCAGAGGGATCCCAGGAGATGACGTCATACCCTTGAATAGTTGCGTTAAAACGGGAATGCCGTGGTCCTAACAAGATTGGCAGCGTGAAAACGTCACTGTTGGTGAATGACAGCCTTACGACTGCCCGCATCTGGTTACCTTAGAGCCCCCTCCCCCGCCGTCTGCAAGGGGGGATGAACCTACACGAGCCCACACGAACATTCCAGCGCAGTTTCCAGCGGGCATGACTGCCATTGTGGCGCCGTTCAGGAAGTAGGCCGGTTGCGGATTGCAAGTGCTTATGTGCGCTAGTTTACACGTAGATGCTTTGAATGCAAGCAGTCGTACTCCGACCATTTGACTAGGTCATTGAGGACAACATGAAGAGGAAAGGCGGCCAGGGGCCTTCGAACACGACAATCATCGTAGTATCCTCCGCGAGTGTTTAGACCGCGCCTCGCACTTCTGGTAAGTCGTGGATGAGAATAATGAGCAGGATTGGTAAGAGCACCAATCCTTAGAGTCTACCGCTGGCGACGTCGGTCCAGTCAGAGTTTGAGCCATGGACCCGCACTCTCTGCTGCTGGATGGAAGCAGAGTTTTACTTTACAGCTTTGTGTACAATGTTAGAAAGCTGCGAGATGTGTCTACAACGTTAAAAAGCTGCGAAATGCTGCAGTCGATTTACTGTCCAGATCTAAGTGCCATGCTTTGAAAGGTCTCCCAGCACTTGCAAACTGGAGTAGTATATGAACGAGTTGACACGGCACGGAAAGATAAGCTCTTTTCACACTAGCATCAGGGTATATATTGGGTATATATTACACACAGGGGTATAATTTGGTATCAAATCTAAAATGCACGGAATCCGGGATGAGCAGGAGCGAAACCAATCGTTTGCCGTCAGGTCTATAGAACAGACTACCAATGCCACATTGAAAACGATGCAAAAGTTGCAATCGATGTTACCAACAGTTGCCCCCATTGCAACGCTACATTACTGGACGCTATCCATAAACGGTCTGCGGGCAAAACCAGATCACGCGCCTCTCATCACGCGGCCGGAGCTGTCTCTGGGGTGACGTGTTTAGTGATAAGGCGCCGGCCGTGGCTTTTTCAGACAGTGTCGTCGGTCGAGGACCGTCCTTTGGTGACATTACATCCGGCTGGGCGTCGGTGTTTTGCAGCGGCGGTGGATGCCAAGCAACAAAGGCATGGGTTGTGCGT